GATATGATTTTTAACCACTGTTACATGCACGACAAAGAAAATGATATAAATTTTACATGCATTAAAAAATAATATGATTTCGCATGCACCATAAAGAAAATATCATATGATTATATATAAAATTAATTAATTGCAATTTCTATTTTTTATGATTAAAACTAATTTTAATTTAAATTAAATTTTTATTATTTTTATGACTAAAAATATTTTGATGACGTGGTGGTTGCCATCAATATTTTTAAGAGTTTTTAAAGAGTTTTTTCTCTAAATCTTCTCTAACTCTTTTAAGAGTCTACTTTGTTGCACTATTTATATATTATCATTAAAAACTCTCTCAAACTATATCATTTCATCATCATACAATTATAATAGTTACTTTTACATTTAAATTAAAAGCATTAGTTTCAAAAAAAAAAAGCATTTTCTTAAAACAAAGAAAAACAATATGATTTATTGTCGAAGACAACAACTCTTTCATACTCTAAGTCGAACCTTAAATCCTCAGTACAACATTCCTCTATAAGCTCACGTCACGTATGTGGTTTATATTCATCACTTCCACTTCGTTTACTTGTTTTTTCCACCTGTTTACATCACAAAATATTAACCTCTTTTCTTTTTAGCCACAAAATCACTGGATATGATTTATGAAAAATTATAGTTCCGATTTTCAAGACACACATGTACTTGGAATTACCGGATGATTGGTTCGGCTGTAGTTGTAGATTAATTGTTGTAAAATTTTTGCTGTAAGTGTTTTGGCTATAGCTGTATATTTTTTTTGCTGTAGATTTTTTTGCTGCAGATTTTTTTTGCTGTACAAATATAAGTTGTAGCTGTAACTATTTTAAAATAAAAACATGATTGGTAAAYMTAAGATATGTGCTATARTTTTAATTAAATCGACTAATTTTATGAAAATAAAATGTTTTGTACTAATTATACAAATMATCTAGTTTATAGAAACTTTATGTATTTTTCAATGCAATAAAAATGAACATCTAAATTATTTTAAAATGGACAATTAAAAAAATTAAATATCATTTTATATTAAATAATTTCGGTAAATGTATTTAAAATATAAAAATACTTTARTGATTGATAGAATAATTCATAATACTTTTGATTTTATATTTTYCATAGATTCGTCACAATCTTGTTTTAAAATCCTTCCATATATATTTTTTTCTCTCAAAACTTTGTTTCTATTAAGTTTTAACTAAGTAATCATAATAAAAGTGTATAACGTGATTTAAAAAAAAAGAGTTTGTACAGCCATAAAAATGGGGCTGTAAGATTTTATATGTTACAGCAAAAGAAACTTAAAAAAAAATTAAAGAGGTTGTAGTTTAGAGAATTAAAGCAAAAACATGATTGGTAAAAAAAGGTGTAGGTTTAAAAGTTAAAAAATTAAAGCTACAACATGATTGATAATATAATGATGTTTTAAAAAAAATTAAGACTGTAGACAACACTTAAAACCCAACCAATCATGCACATACAGTTATGATTTTTCTATTATTAGAATCAAGCTAAGTCGAACTCATGGTGTTTGTGTGACAACCTTCAATTGAAAATACGCAAAAAAATGACTTACCTGCAAATCTTTAAAATTGGGGTATCATGTGTTGATATCATTTGAAATTATCCTTGTCTTCTTTATGTCTCGGATTGGATTTGCAACAAATTACTATAATTCGCCTCCTCCTAGAAATTAGTCCTCACTTTTCACAAATTTTACCAAAACATAGAGAACAAATTCTAAACTCCAATTTTATTTTATTATATAAAGGAGAATGCGCACGATGAGAACGCGATACGTAAGCAAAATTCTAATCACCATATCGTGGTATATGTTAACACTTAAAATTAATTAAAAATATATAAAAACAAAAATAGAAAACGAACAAAATAATTGTCAAATCTCTAACCAAATACATGATGACATGTGTTAACACTTAAAATACGCGTTCTCATCGTGCGCATTTTTCTTTATATAATAAGATTATAAAAAAAGGAAAATTTTTAATGGTCCACACTAGCTAGATTTAAAAAATCTAATAGTTTAAATTAATTATAAAATTAAATTTAAAAAAAATAGAGAGAATGTAAACCATAGAAAAAATTAGAGAGAAAAAAACAAGTAAAAAAAATATTATCGATATATTTGACACGTAAGCAAAATTATAACTCACCAGTACATGACATGTGTCTAATACTGTTCATATGATAACATGTGTTAAAACTTAAAATCAATTAAAAAAATAAAATTAAAAATGGAAAACGAACAAAATAATTGTCAAGCAACTAACCAAATAATAAAAAAAAATCTCAAATAGTTAGGAAAGAAAGAATTATAATAATTTAAAAAATCATAAAAATAAAATTAGGAAAGAAAACAGAGAGACTATGTTATTATATAAAGGAGGATGCGCACGATGAGAGCATAACACGTAAGGAAAATTCTAATTTACGAAATCATGACATGAGTCAATTGTTAATCAGATGATGATATGTGTTAATAATTAAAAATAAAATTGGAAAACGAACAAAATAATTTTCAAATAACTAACCAAATAGTAAACAATAAAATTTTCTTATTTTCAAACTAATTATCAGAGAAAAGGAAATTTCTAATAGTCTCCACTAGCTAAATTAATTTTTTTTTATATTTTAAACTAATTGTTATAAAATAAATAAAAAAGAAAATAGAGAAAGTGTAAACCACAGTAAAAATAGACAAACAAAAATCAAGTAAGAAAAATACTATCGACGAGCGTTTGACACGTAAACAAAATTATAACTCACCAGATGGTGTCATGTGTTCAATATTGATCAGATGATGATATGAGTTAAAACTTAAAATTAATTAAAAGAAAGTAAAACTAAAAATAAAAAACGAACCAAATAATTGCCAAGCAACTAACAGTCTAAACAAATTATAAAATTAAAATTTCAAAATCTAATAATCCTAAATAGGTAGGAGAAAAATATTATAATAGTTTAAAAAATTATAAAAATAATTAGGAAAGAAAATAGAGAGATTATAAAGAATAAAAAACAAAAAAGTAGAGAGAAAATATAATTTTTAATTAAGAATAATAAAACAAAATATTTTTATAAATTGAAAAAGAAAATTAGAAATATATGGAAATCTCAATGTTAAAAATTATACAAACATACCATAGAAAAATACGCTACAAACATATTTATTTTATAAACATAGTTATAAAATATTACAAAGAAAATAAAAATCTTCTACCTATACTTTTCAATGTTAAAAAAAAAATTACATAAAATGAAAATTTATACATGTTAGAAAATAATAATAATATATTTACTGTTAACATCCAAAAGTGTAAGATTTAATGAGTATA